AGCTAGTGTTATCATTGTGTTCCTTCATTCAATACTGATTTATTGAGTACTAGCTGCATCAACTTGGCTAACAGAATAGGCTCATAGTGATGACAGGTAAAATTCTTACTCTCTAGAATCTAAATATTGTAATTTTTAAGATAAAATTAATATTTTAAACTTTACTTTTAATAGGCATTATTGGTGGAATTCACCAGAGTTGATGGTGCCCTAATTTACCATCAATGCAAGATCAAAATAATGGGGAGTATAATTCAATGGCACATTTGTCATTAGATGCTAATCACTTTGTAAAGATGAGTTTTATTATTCCAACCTTTTTCTTCTTTCAAGATTTTATTTAAATTCTAGTTAATATATAGTGTAGTATTAGTTTCTTGGGTAGAATTTAGTAATTCATCAATTGCATATAACACCCAGGGCTCATTACAACAAGTGTCCTCCTTAATGCCCATCACTCATTTACCCCATCCACCCCAATTACTCCTCCAGCAATCCTAAGTTTGTTCCCTATGCTTATTAGTTTCTTATGGTTTTCCCTCCCTCTCTCTTTTTATCTTATTATGCAAACTTTTTGACTCCTTCTTCTCATTCCCACTGTGGCTGGGTGGATCCCAAGTTACACAGAGTAACTGGGATGTTCAAAGTAGGATAAGCTTTGCATAATAGTTACTCAGTTCAACATAGTGAAACAAAATTAGCCTCAAGAATCTAGGTTCTCCAGTTATTGACACTACCTAGGGTTTTATAACCATCACTTCACCCATTATCATTTTATACCAAACTGCATGATAATACAATAGGAGACCTCAGATATGACCCCACTAGACGATGGGAATATTCAGGCCCAATTTATTGGCTACTCTGTTCCTCATCTCTATTTATTTTCCCCAAACCCCATATCCTTTTGTTTGCCTAATTATTATCCATAGAATTTCTTTTTTTTTTTAATTTTTTTTCAATGTTTATTTATTTTTGAGACAGAGACAGACAGAGCATGAACAGGGGAGGTGCAGAGAGAGAGGGAGACACAGAATCTGAAACAGGCTGCAGGCTCTGAGCGGTCAGCACAGAGCCCGACGCAGGGTTCGAACTCACGGGCCGTGAGATCATGACCTGAGCCGAAGTCGGACGCTTAACCGACCAAGCCACCCAGGCGCCCCAAGAATTTCTTAATGCTTTTTTTTGTTTGTTTGTTTCTTTGTGTTCCCATACAGTTTTTACTCTCTTTTTGGTAAAAGTTGCAACTTTAACCATTTTCCAGAGTATTCCTTTAATAGCATGAAGTTTTTCTTCAAAGATCTGATAGGAATTCTTTGAAAATGGACTTTTCTTTCCATTTAAGTCTTACTTTAACAAGTTCACTGATTTTAGATTTCTCTGACAAACACAGTTGAGGTATCAAAACCCAGACATGTTGAAAATAGCTTTTCCTTGAGGTCATTTAGAATCTAAGACTTTCTGTCCTACTCTGTCAAATTACGCAGTTTGGGAATAAGATGGGTATAAGTGGTCTGGGTGGACAGGTGGTAGTGAAAACAAAGGTGGATTGGTAAACAATCTAGACAAAGTAAACTCACAGTGTCTTCTGAAACTGATGTATTTAAGTTCTCCTATTTCCCCAGACTCTGTCACAGACACTTCTGGCGGAATGTTTGTAGTAAATTAATGATGATTTTCTCTATTGCCTTTGTTAGACAGCTCCTTCCAAAAAGAAATTTTCCTGGGAGATAAATGCAGTGTGTTTTATTTGTTTGTTTCTTTGTTTGTTTTGCTTTTTTTTTTTTTTTTTTTT